TACACATATCCCCCATTTCCCTCCCTCCACCCAGACCCTCCTCCCCAGCCTTCACCACACTATTGTCTGTATCCATGGGCTATGCATATAAATATATAAGTTCTTTGGTTTATCTCTTCTGGTCCCCCAGCCCCCGAGATACGTCAGTTTGTTCCATGCCTCCACGTCTCAGAACTTATTTTGTTGGTTAATTCACTTTGTTGATTAGATTCCACAAATAAGTGAGATCATGTCCAAATCTACTCCCTTCAAAAAAAAAAGGGGGGGGGGTTCCTACACAAATTCTTGAGTAGAGAAGCAACAAAAATAAGAGGTCTATAACCATACTACCCATCTGAATTCCAAATACCTTCACAATATTAAATACTTTCATTTAATCACCACACAGTTCTAAAAACATTCTTTATTATAGCAACTAGAGAGGAAGCCCCCAAGAGCTGGGAACAGTTCCTTGATCCAGACAATTTACACTTCAGACTCTGTATCAGCAACAGATTTAGACCATTCTTTGTTGTATCTGACTTAAGAAATTCCCAGACCCAGGGAGCATTTACACTGCCAAGAATTTGTTTCTCTGAACTGTTTCAGGGAAACAGTTTTGAGGAAACTTACTGTGTCAGTGGCTTGAGGTGATCCCAACAACACTGCCAGGATGACACCAAGGGACATTTTTATGAAGGTAGCATAGGGCGAAACTAAGGCAAGCTAGGGGTAATGCCCTTGGTTATGCCAGTTTTCAGTTTGGTGGTCAAACACCCCATCATCACTGGGTGGGGAGAACCAGACTGAACTCATACTACACATGGCTTTTACAGAGCTTAATTTCAGCATAAACTCCTTTGATCTTGGGACATTACAAAAGTCTAATGGGAAACTTCTCTTCATTCATACTCAAAAGGAAGGAAAAGACCCCATAAAGTTTTTATTCCATAAAAGTAGCCTGAATTCTCATATACTTCTGGGTGCTCAATGAACTATTATACATAAAATAAATATTCTGTTAATAGTCTCAAATAAATGCCGAACTCACTGCCAATGATCTGTTTTTGGTCCATGAGTCTTTCGGTATGAAAAACTCCCCATTGTTTCTTTCCTTTTCCTTGACTACACTCTGATCTCTCTTAAAGTCATCAGGGAAAATACAAGGGAACATGAGACACTCTGATCTAGCAACAGAAAAAGGCCACGTCTCTTACCATGTGCCCTTGCGTGGTCCAGGATAGCTGCATTAACCGGGGGTGACAGGGGTAAGAGGTGGGGACTAAAAGTTAAATTGGAAATGTGGGCTGGTGAGTTGAAAATAAAAATGGACTTGATGTATGCTTCAAAAGTTATACAGTTCAGAGGGTAGGACGGAAGAGTGAAAAGGGTGCTAGATTGGAATGTATTAAACATCTATTTGACACAGACGCGTAATTTTACGTCTGACAACACACATAGTGATTACAGTGTCACTGACTGTATTCCCTACGCTGTCCTTCACATCCCCATGACTATTCTGTAACTACCCACCTGTATTTCTCAATCCCTTCACCTTCTCACCCAGCCCGCAACCCCGCTCCCCTCTGGCAACCATCAGCCTGTTCTCTGTATCTATGAGTCTGTTTCTGTTTTGTTTGTTAGTTTATATTGTTCTTTAGTCTCCACATATAAGTGAAATCATATGCTATTTGTTTTTCTCTGACTGATTTATGTCACTAGCATTCTACCCTCTAGGTTTATTGAATGTAAATGGTAATTGAAAAATATGTTTTAAAAATTTTGCTTCTTGCTTTAGAAAACAATGTGATTAGGTGAAATAATGGGTCAGCAAATGAAAGACCGACTTTCACTGATTTAAATAAAGAATTGGAAGTTGACGATACACATGATTCTTATCTCCTTGTATTTCTTCCTAAATTTTAATGCTCTGAAGCTATTCATGCAAAACTGCTTGTTGGTACAACTCTGAGCGCCTTCTCCCCCACTATCCTACCTTCCTATCTCTGCATATTTAAAAGACATTCCTTCACGGGGTTGGTTGTTGGCTTTCAGCAGTAGAAACAAATGATTATGAGGTAGGCCTCTGGAGTCAGACTTCTCGGTCCAAATCCTGGCTTTGCTACTTTTGGCCATGGGCCTTGGGGAGACTGTTAACCTCTCCAGGCCTTAGCATTCTCATTTTCATATAATTTTAAAAATACTATCCACACACAAGGCCATCTGATTTATTTAACATCTATGTGTCAAAGATGCTACACACTTATCACCTGTGCCATTTAATCCACATAACAACCAAGCAAGTTCCATACTGTTAGTTTCATTTTCAGTTGAGGAAACAGAGGCTCAGAAGGGTTCAGACTTGACCAGGACTTCACAGCTTCCGAGTAGGAGAGATTAAAGTGAATTTGGAGCTGTTTAATGCCAAAGCCTGTGTTCCTACCACTACAGCAAGATTCGCATCTGTTTTGAATATTTTATTTTGCACTTGTATAAAAGCTTACTTGGGATTTTCCATATGGCATCAATTCTGTTGAAATATTGCCTCCTCAACTCCATAGCAAAGACCTTGAGGGCATGAGCGGATCATTTTATAGAGAGTGAACAGAAAGATGACTTGTGGAAGTGAAAATTGAAATCTCTGGCTTAATGAGGTGGGGTGATGATCTGTTGATCTCACTTGCTAGTGTTGGTACATGATTAGGGGTCCGACACAAAGCACAATGGGTAGGCCCTCTCGCCACGCCAACACAGAATCTCTCAAGTCCATTGTTATTCTTGTCTTCTTCCTCCCTC